CAAAATATACCAGTGATAAAGCTATAATAATTTAAATATCAAGGTGATGCCATAGGAGCAGAAAATTATCAATGAAACAGACTTGAGTCTGGGAATTCGATTTACAATAAAGGTGACATATTGGATCAATAAATAAGACTTGACTAGTAAAGGGTGTTGGCAATTGGCTATCCATTTGAAAGGGAAAAAAAAGACCCTTCATAACATAAACAAAAAATGTTGCAGGTAGCTTTTTTTTGCAGCTAGAAAAAGAAATTTATGAAAGTGTTGAATATAAAGGTACATACTTTTATAAATCTTGAGATGTTTAGAGCCTGCCTTCATGAGACACAAAACAAAGAAGATTATTTATTTAGAGACAGCATCTCACTCTGTTGCCCTGAGTAGAGTGTTGTGGCATCAGCCTGGCTCACAGCAACCTCAAATTCCTGGGCTCAAATGATCTTCCTGCCTCAGCCTCCTGAGTAGCTGGGACTACAGGCGCTCACCACCACACCTGGGTATTTTTTTCCTATTTTTTTAGTAGAGACGAAGTCTCTCTCTTGCTCAGGCTGGTCTGGGAACTCCTGACCTCAGGGGATCCTCCCTCCTTGGCCTCCCAAAGTGCTAGGATTACAGACGTGAGCCACCACACCCAGCCAAAACAAAGAAGATTTAAAGAAAAAGATGGATTTGTCCATTAAAAAGTAATAATTTAGGCCAGGTGTGGTGGCTCATGCCTGTAATCCTAGCACTCCTGGGAGGCCGAGGTGGGAGGATCCCTTGAGGTCAGGAATTTGAGACCAGCCTGAGCAAAAGGGAGACCCCATCTCTACTAAAAATAGAGAAAATTAGCCATGCGTGGTGGCATGTGCCTGTAGTCCCAGCTACTTGGGAGGCTGAGGCAGGAGGATCACTTGAGCCCAGGAATTTGAGGATGCTGTGAGCAAGGCTGATGCCATGGCACTCTAGCTCAGGTAAAAGAGTGTGACTCTGTCTCAGAAAAAAAAAAGAAGAAAGTTAATAATTTATCATGACAAAAATCACCATAAATAAAATTTAAAGTTAGGAGACAAGCAATGATACTTGCAACATAATTGCAGAGGCTTCATATCCATGTTATATAAATCAGTAAGAGATAACCCAATAGAAAAATGGGCACATTTCCAAAGAAGAAATTCATATCAAAATATGTTCATGCTCACAAATCATTAGATAACTGTATCTAAAACCAACAAAATAATATCAAAAGTGTTCTCAGTCCTGGAGTGTACTTATAAAAATGAGAAAGAATGCTATAATGAATTTTTTTATAAAGCAAAGTCACATTTGATCTATTTCTTTACAAATTTGTATTTTCATCATCAAACTTGTTTAAAGTAAGATAGACCAATAGTGAAGACTTCTAATTAATTTGTCGAGTCAATTAAGAAGACTGTACCAAGAAACCACGACTCCAAAAAAAAGAAAAAAGAAAAAAAATTAAGACTTTCAGGCATTTTTTGTGTGTTGTCATTTCTATAAGAGTTTAAACTTTTATATCTAAATTGAGATTTTCTTTGCATAACT